GAAGCTTGCTAAGGACTGAATAGTGTCGCCACAAAATTCATATGTCAAAGCCCTAACCCCCAGTGTGATGGTATTTGGAGATGGGAACTTTGGGAGGTAATTAGGCTTAGATGAGGTCATGAGGGTGGGGTCCCATGATGGCATTACTGCCCTTATAAGGAGAGACACCAAGACCTTGCTCTTTCTCCCCCGGCCTTATGAGGACACAGCAAGAAGGTGGCCATCTACAGCCAGGAAGAAGGCCTCACGGGAACCCAACCATGCTGACACCTTGATCGGGGACTTCTCAGACTCTAGAACTGTGAGAACATAAATGTCTGTTTAAACCAGCCAGTATGTAGTATTTTGCTGTGTCAGGCCAAACTGACAGGACAAGGCCTTATTCCCCTTTCTCCTGATGTGGCGTGTCTGATGTGCCACCTCCTTTTTAGCCTGGGTCCCTTGCACCCAGGCCCTGCAGATGGCAGCTCGGCAGGATGTGAGGTACGGGTTTCAGTTGGGCAGGAGCTCAGCTGCTATAGGGGGACTGGAGCACAGTGAGGGGCTGCACAGGCTACCAAGAGAGCCTCCGGACCCCTCACTTTCCACAGATCTACAGGGGCTCTGTGTAATAGGCCCCTTCTCATCAAGGGAAGGAAAAAGCCTTTCAATTCAGAGGGTGCAGGTGCTGGAGAGCAGCTTCACATGGTAGATCACAAGCCTCAAAAAGCTGCTCGCCATAGTATGTCTGTGAGCTGAGCCTCCTTGACCATCCCCAAGCAAACAGCCATCCTCTCCACTGATGCTCCTAGCAGAAATGTGCAGCTGTGTTCACCAAAGACAGGTACTAGAAAGTTCATAGGAGCCTTATGCATAGCCCCAAACTGGAAACAACCCAAATGTCTATTTACACTGTGATGGAGAAATCAATCATGTACCCTCATCCAATGGAATATTATACAGCTATGAGCATGAATAAACTGTTGCTACGTGCAACAACTTGGATGCACCTTAGAGTCATAACATTGAGGAGAAAGTGTGATTACGTTCATATAAAGTTCAAAAACAGACCAAACTAACCTACAGGATTGAAAGTTGGGACGGTTGTTACTCTTGGGGGTAGTGATTGGACGGGGGCATGAGGTTCTTGATCTGGATGCTTTGGAACTTCTCTGGTCTGTAGACATGATGACTTTTGCCCTTTTCTGTTAGTATGTTATACATGTTGACTTTTAAAAAAGAAAAAGGCTGCATACCATTGTGTATAATAAGTAAACACAGGAAATAGCCTAAATGCCATCCGTAGGTCAATGACAAGAGTACACCCATGCAGTGGCACACCCATGCAGTGGCACACTACACAGTCATTAAGGAAGGGAGGAAGCTCTTTATGTGCTGATGTGGAATGACATCTGGATACGCTGCTAAGTGAAAGGCAAGGTTCAAAGCAGCACATATGGTACCATGCTAGCATTCCGTAAAGAGTGGAGAAAGAATATGTTATCATCTTGCATGTACATAAAATATTTCTGGGGGCCGGCCGAATAGAACATTGGTTAAGAGCTGGCTTGGGACGCCAGCTCTGAGCAGCAGGGCCCCAGTTTGGATCCCACATGAGGGCCAGTGACACTGCCCTCTACAGCTAAGATGCTGAACAATAGCTCAACCTGGAGCTGGGCTGTTGTGAGTCGCCGGCAATGGCGTAGGCTGCAGTGGGGCTGCAGTGGGCTGCCATAAGGTACTGTGTGTGGCCGGCAGCCAGTATGAGCGGCCGCCCAGTGGCCAGTGACCTATCTGCCTCAGCTGGGAAGAACACAATGATAATATAAACTTGGGCCAGTGAAGTGACGTCCTTCACAACTAGACTGAAGAACAAAAGGACAGCAACTTGTCTGTTCCCCCTCCCTCAATTCCCCAATACAATCTTAAATAAATAAATAAATAAATATATATATATGTATGTATATATATATTTCTGGAAGACTTCATAGGACACTGATAACCCTGGTTACTTCTAAGAAGGCAAACTGAGTAGCTGGAGGATGGGTAGGGGGAGACGTTGCCCGGGTAACCTGATGCACCTTTTGAATTTGAGACCATGTGAATAAGGTACCTAGTGAAACTGTCAGGTGGGTGGAGTTGACTACTCATAAATGACTCTTGCCAGAGATTTTCATTCACTTGGAAATAAAATAATTAAAGCAACAAACAATGGCAACACACAAGCCAAATGGAACTCACAGAAATAATGGATTCATCACAAAAAAATAAAAGTGAAAACCTTTAAGCTCTTTTTGACCGAGCTTGCCAATTGCTAGGAATTTATCCTAAGAAAATGCTCATGGGAAAAGAAAGAAAATGCTCATGGATTTGCCCTAAGATTTAGCTATGAGGCTGTCTATCACATTGTTATCTATAAGAGGGAGAAGACGAGAAAGAAAAAGAAAAAAAGAAAAAGGAAGGGGAAGGGGGAGAAATAATAAAGAGAGGAAGTAAAGAAAGAAACAATTTAATATCCAACAGTACAGAAATATAACTCTTTCATACCATGGAGTACTATCCAGCTATTAAAATTATATTGAGGAAGATTTAATTATACAGGAAATATTCAAGATATGTTCGGTTTCAAAAGGCTATAAAAATAACATAATTTCACTTTGGGAAAAATACATAGCTATAGCAAATAGTTATATAGAATTTACTATGCAAGGCACTATACTAAATACACAGATTACTTCATTTAATCCCCACAGCACTATGTGTAGGTACCATTATTATCTATTTTTTACAGATGAGGACACTAAGGCACAGAGAGGCTATCTAAGTTATCCAAGGCCACACAGCTAGTAAGTTGCAGAACTAGAATTTGAACCCAGACTGTCTGGCTCAAGAGCCTGCTCATAGCATAACCAGTACTCCATACTGTTATGAGTACAGATCAAGCAGTTAAGAATGACTTTCTGGGGCCAGCAAGTGGCGCATTAGTTAAGAGTTGGGTTGGGACGCCAACTCTGAGCAGCAGGGCCTGGGTTCGGATCCCCCATATGAGGTCCAGTGACGCTGCGCTTCTACAGCTAAGATGGTGAACAACAGCTCAACCCGGAGCTGGGCTGTAGTGAATCGCCAGTGATGGTGTAGGCAGCAGTGGAGCTGGTGGGCAGCAAGCGTGAGCTTTTGTGAGCTGCCATGAGCCACTGTGCGCAGCCGTCCAATGGCTGGCGAGCAACTGCCTCTCCCAGGAAGAGCGCAATGATNTTGGACCTGGGTTCAAATTCTGGCTCCACCACTTAGGTGACTTTGGACAAGTGGCTGGACCTCTCTAGGCCTCCCCTTTCTCATCTGTAAAATGGTGGCCATGATGCCTGCCTGATGAAGAGTTGCAACTCTTACTGAGCAGTCAGTCACCACATGCCCCTTTATAGGCATAATCTTTCTTCCTCACAGGACAGCCCTGTAAGGTGGTACTGTTCTCACCACCCTCATGCGGGAAACTGAGGCTCAAGGAGGTGAAGTCATTTATTAGCTCAGCCTACTTCCTACACAGACAATCTGCTTTCACAGTCCAAGGGTTCTACCCTAATACTAAACCAACCCCTTTCAAGTGCGATAACCCTCACCACCATTATCCCTATTTTATAGATGAGAGACTCAAAGAGATGAATATAGTTAACGGGAAGTGCTAAATATAGACCCAGTATATGCTAATATCTCGAAAGGTGTGTGTGACTATGAAAATCACTACTATTTCTCACGGCACACCCAGACAGATGGGGGTCTATCCACCGATACCATGCAGTGTCTCCCCTTATTCCGGGGACACAGTGGGCTCCTGGGTCAGAAGGGAGAACAGTCTGGCATTATCATTACAGTGCTAAGTGTGCAACTCCACTTCTGGAAAGACACCAAGAAAACACCAAGAAGATCGTTGTATCATTGCCAATAATAGTAAAGACCTGGAAACCTCCCTAATAGCCCCTAAAAGGAGGATGATAAGAAAGGACAGTTCCTTCATCTTATGTAATGCTCAGTACTGGATTAAAAGGGCAAGATGGTTCTCCATGAAATGATAAACACAGACCTTTAAGACATGCTCCAGAGAGCAGCACAAAAAGCAATCTGAGGAGGGGTTTCTTTAGGATGAATGATGCCTGTCCCAAGTTAGCACGTAACACTACTCTCTGCTTTATAAAGGGATGGATCTGGTATGAAGATATACAGATTAGCATCTGATAAAAGTGGTGACCCCTGAGAACTCTGGCCTATGTGTAAGGTTTTTTTTAATTGGATTTTAATGTTACTTGATATATACAAAAGCATATATGTAATATACTAGGTATAAAGAACACTGTAACAAACATCTGTGGGCCCACCATGCAAGAGCTGTAAAACTCTACCAATAATTTGTACACTCCTACCTGTCCCCCATCTCATGCTCCTGGCTTTGACCTGTCCACCCCAGCCACATATAACCATCCTACTGTTTATAATTCACATTTCTTTACTTTAAAAAACAAACAGTATTACCAACAATATAGGTACGTTTAAACTGTACATTGCTTAGTGGTGCCTGGTTTTTGAGCTCAATAAAAAATCTCACTACATCATCTTCTGGAACTTGACCCCCCCCCCAACATGGGTTCCAGTATGTATCATTCTGTTACTATAACTGAGGCTCATTCATTTTCGGTTATGAGCTATCCAGTGATGTGAATATATCACCATGTATTTATCCATCCTCCTGTCAATGGCCATTTAGGCTGTTTTTGGTTGTTAGCTACTTTGAAACTGCTGCAAGAGCATTCTTGCATGTTTCTCATGGGTTTATACTCACAGGTGGGTTTGCTGGGTCACAGCCACACAGACGTTCCAATCTGAGGGATAACGTCACATTGTTTTCAAGGTGCTCGTACTGTCTGTACCATTCCCAATTTTTGCATCACTATTGACCTTCAAGAGGCAGGCCTTGTCCTCACCCCTCACCCTGCACGCGGGCAGCCGCCCACCCAGAAATGCCCACTCACCTTTGTTGTCTTGCTTGAGCTCTTCCTGAAGCAGGTCTGTTTGCCGGTTGCCCAGCACGAAGGCGAGAAAGGAGAGGATAAGGGCGTTGAGGATGCCGATGATGGCCAGGATGTACGCCCAGCGCACTGAACAGTCCCCCAGGGAGTACTTCCCGGTCTTGGCCCCGCACATGTCCCGGATGGTTTCGGAGTCCCAGCCGTCGGGGAAGATCATGCAGCCCAGCACGAGGCACAGAGCTGAGAGGGCACAAGGCCGCGGTCAGTAAGGAAGAGAGAAGGGGATGATTACTCCCCAGAGCCCGATGACCACCAGGAAGGAGCCCTCCTCCGGCTGGGCCCCACAGTCCACCCATCAACCCAAGAGCCTGTTAACCGCTTCCTGTGGGTTGCAGAAAATCTAGAGCCTGGGATGGCCCCTGCCTTGGAGAGCTTTAGGAAACCCATAATGCCCTCTCCCCACCCCCATCAAATCAACTCCGCCTCCAGGAAGCCTTCCTGGAAATAAGAGAAAATAGCAAACCACTGTCAGCCCCCGTTAGCATCTTGGGCAGGCTTACCCTCTCCCATCCCCTTCATTATTTATGTATGTATGTGCCTATATGTACAATGCATATGTATGTATTTAGGTCATTCAACAAATATTTATTGAGCGCCATTTTTCTTTCCCTCAAGATGCTGGAAATAAGTTCTCATTCAGCACTGCATTCAGTGAACAGACTGGGGTGAGCACCACGGAGGTTGAACCTAGTTCTTTCACTTAGGGTATGACTTTGGCTGTGCCTCCTGTTTGTGTCTGTATGATGGAAATCAGTACTTACCTCACAGAGTGGTTGTGGGGATTAAATGAAGTAATGTTTGTAAGACACTTAGCACAGTGCCAGGCATTGACACACTCAAGGAGTATCTATTGAGGGCTTACTGAGATACTTGGACTCTAGCTTCAGTGTAGTGAGGGAGAGAGAGGTCCACTGGGGAAAGCAGTTAAGAGAGCTGGGGCTCAAATCCTGTCTCAGCTGTTTTCTAGATGTGTGACCTAGAGTCAGTTCCATCATCTTTGAGTCTCCAGTTTTCTCATCTGTAAAATGGGGCATTGTAATGATGGCATTCGAGTAATTACAAAGATTACTGGAGGCAGCAATGTTAAGTGCTTGACACAGTAAGTNCAGCCCAACTCCAGGTTGAGCTGTTGTTCAGCATCTTAGCTGTGGAGGGCAGTGTCACTGGCCCTCATATGTGGGATCCGAACCGGGGCCCTCTAGCATCCCAAGCCAGTTCTTAACCATCGCGCCACTTGGCCGGCCCTTGAGCGAGCTCTTAACCAACTGAGCCACTCGGCTGGCCCTCACCAATGATAATTTTACAAATCAGTAAAAGTCTTAGAAAAGGTGAGATATACAGAGAAGCAGTAAAGCATAGGCTATACAATCGACAGGCCACTTGTATCCTCTTCAAGTCCCTCCCTTGAGTTTAAGATAGTTTTCTGGACAGTGTCAGGCTGAGATTGGGGCTGACAGTAGCCCAATGAAGGGTTTGTGTCCACGTTGAGACCACAGCTCTCCAAGGGAATGCCTCCCCTGCCCAGGTGCACTAGAAGGCAGTAGGGAAAACCTCTGACAGGGACACACACACACACACACACACACACACACACACACACACACTCCCCTTCCCCAGGACAAGAAGGCTACCCACAGGCCCCTCCCTTCCAGGTCTGGGCTTTAGCTCTGCACCTCCCCACCCCACCAACTTAGGGCAAGGGCTTATCTTATCAGGGAGACTGACCTCTCCTAACAGTCACCTGTGACCCACTGGATTTAAAGATCCAGGCCCGATCTTAGTACCTCTATCATCTGTAGATCTCACAGGATGGGACTCCTTTGCCTGGGCTCCCCACTCCCCATCCAGCTCTCCAATGCTAGGAGGCACCCTGACTTCATCCTTTCCTTCACCCTGCACATCCAATCCATTTGCAAGGCCCATTGGCTCAAGAAAAAAAAAAATTGTCCAGGACAGACCTCTTCTCACCCTCTTCACTGCCACTACCTGTTCCAGCCGCCGTGGTCTCCCACCTGGATCATGCTGGTGGCCTCCTAACTAGCTCCTCTGCTCCCACCCACGCCCCATCACGGTCTATTGTCCACTTAGCATCCAGAGTGAATTTTCAAACACAGGTAGTGTCAATCCCCTGCTTAACGCTCTCCAAAAGCTCCCAGTTGCACTCAGAATAAAACCCCGATGGCTGGTACAGCTATACAAGGCCCACGGGCTCTCTCTACCTTCCCCTCCAGGCACACTGGCTTCCTATCTAGCCCTTAAAAAAAAGTTATATTCAATCGCACCTGGAGGCCTTTGCACTGACCTGTCCCTCCCCCTGGGACACTCTTCCTCTAAGTCATTCAGTCCCCAGCTCGTGGTTCCTGATCTTAAGGGGCTCACAGTTGAGTAGGAGGAGTGCTACAAATACAAATAATTGTATCTGGTGCCATAGACATTTTTATGGAGAGATGGGACACCCATCACTTTGTGTGGTAATTATTTGGGAACAGTATTTGCACTTGTCCTCCACCCCCAGGCCCAGCCTGCATGGAGCACACAGCCTCTTCGTAACTTTTGAATCTGCCGGGTGCATCCCTTTTGCCCAGGCTCAGCTCTGCCACTCATCCCCACGTCCTGTCATCCTATTGCACTCCCTCCAGTTCTGGACACGGCCCTTCCAGGTGGTGCCATCCCTTTCCAGTCCCTCTTTGACTCCTCCAGGCAGGTGTCCTTTCTCAAGGCCATCCTTTTCAGTTTCTTGGTTGCTAATTTGAGCAGCTGCTCTGGCTCCTCCTATCCCTGCCTCTTACAGGTTGGTGTTTCTAGGCTGTCTCCTTTTCTCCCTCCTTCCATACATGCTCCCCTGGAAGTTTCACCTCCTGCTCAGCCTTATAAGAGGACGCCTCATGTCTACATCTCCAGCTCAGTCTTCCTCCTCAGCTCCACCTCCGAATATCCAATTGCTTGTCAGACCTTTCCTCTTGCACATCCCATAGGGACCTCAAATTCACCATTTCCCAAACTGACCTGATCTCCCTCCCATGCCCTTTGGGAATGTCACTCTAGAAACCCAACTTTCCAAGGAAGAAAGCTGGAGTCATCTGTAACACCTGTCTCTCCTCACCCCAGCACACCTGCTGGTCCCCAAAATAGACCCCAATCTTTCTCCTCCTCTCCCTCCCCCAGCCTCAGCATCTCTCACCTGGGCCATTGTCTCACCTTCTCCTTGGGCTCCCTGCCTCCCCTCAAGCCTCCAGCAGCTGCCCAAGTCATCTTTCTAAACCCACATCTGGCCCTGGTCACTCCCGTGCCTAAAGGGGTGATTGCCTATCCCCTAGGGATAAGACCCAAACTCCAAGACCCAACTTTCAAAGCTCTCCATAGGCCAGTCCTACCTACTTTTCAGGCTTATCTCCCAATTCTTCCCACTTTTCATCCTTTCCTCCCTTGTTCTAGCACAGGCCATGGAATGTTGGAGCCAAAATGATTTGACACAAGTCACAGGACAGCTAATAATAATTGCTAACGGTTACTAAGGGTTCCCTTTCTGCCAGGGTCTGTACACGTATTGACAAACAATCCTTCAATGGCCCAGTGAGGTAGTTACTATTTTTGTCCCCATTTTATAGATGAGGAAACTGAAACTCAGGAATCACATAACCTTCCTAATGACACTTAGTTGGTAATGCTACACTCGGGATTCAAATTCAGGTTGTCTGACCATTGAATATGCTCCCAGAAGAGTGGGTGGTGGAGCTAGGTCTTAAATCAGATATCATCACTCATTCATTCATTCATTCATTTAATGGACACTTATTAAGCACTACTATGTGTCAGGCACAGACTCCTCATCCATGTCTCTCATTATGCCACTAAACTGCTCTGGGATTAAAGGAAGGTTGATAATGATGAATAACATGAAATGAGAGTGAAAAGAAAAAAGACAAAAATACGAGGCTTTCAGAATAAGGATAGTTTTAGCCCTCGTCCTCTTGACATCACCAACCCTCCTTTCCACTAACAGCCAGATCTGGTATGTTTCCCCCACGCTCAAAACACTTCAAGACCTTTGTAGGTATTACACTAAACCCAGGAACCATACAGGAGGGAGCTGATGGCTTGCTTATGTTGAGAAAAAACGAATTTCACCATGGTGAAAACATCCATAGACAAAGTCAAAAGATAAACTGGGAAGCAATATTTGTAACTCATATCACAAAGAGCTAACCTTCTTAATATATAAAGAGTTCTTACATATCAAAGAGGAACATACCATTAACTTGATAGAAAAAATAAATAAACTGACATAAAAGGTACTCAACCACATTCATAATCAGAGAAAGGCAAATTACTTAACCCACCATAACAGGGTATTTTTTACCCATTGGGTTGGCAAAAGTAAAATATTTGATACCACACTCAGTGGGCAAGGATGTGGGGACTTTCATGCACTGCTGCTGGGAGGAGAGGGCACTATGGCTGGATTTGACAAAGTTGTAAATATATAGACCATTTAGGGGCAGCTGGTTAGCTCAGGTGGTTAGAGCGCAGGCTCATAACACCAAGGTTCCCAGTTCGATCCCCACAGGGGCCACTGAGCTGTGCCCTCCACAACTAGATTGAAACAACTACTTGACTTGGAGCTGATGGGTCCTGGAAAAACACACTATTCCCCAATAAAATCTTAAAAAAAAAAAGCTGTATTTAAGTGACGGCATGTGGACATAATTTTTTTTTAAAAAGAATGACTTTCTGGGAGAGTGGGATTATGGGTGTAATTTTGCTCATGTATATTCTTAAATTTTTCTACAAAGAACAATGATAATTTTTTTTTAGCTGAACCATCCTGCCACCTGTTGGCAGCTCAG